TCTGTCTTTCTTTACCTGACTTATTTCACTGAGCATAATACCCTCTAAGTCCATCCACGTTGTCACAAATGGCAAGACTTCATTCTTTATTGTGGCTGAATAATATTCCATTTTGTATATGAACCACATCTTCTTTATTCATTCACCCGTTGATGAGCACTCTGGCTGCTTCCGTATCTTGGCCATTGTAAATAATACAGCAATAAACATAAGGCTGCCTGTATCTTTCTGAATCAGAGATTTTGTTTTCTTCAGGTAAATTCCTAGAAGTGGAGTTCCTGGGCCACATGTCCATTTTTATATCTGTATGACAGTCATAATTTTACCTCTTTTTAAAAGGATGGTGGTGAGAGTCCCAGTGGGCACAGGACCCATGTGCAGAGATCTGGAGCCTGCGCTCAGCACCAGGCATCGAGCAGCAGGAAGCCTGGCCCGGATCCTTATCGGAGTGACCATCAGGAGTTGCTGGGATGGGCTGATTTTCTAGCCCCTACTCATAAAGGGTGGACGGAGGCAGCCGGGCTGGAGTAAAATGAAAACATGCTGGCGATGGGTTCTCAGGTGCTGACGGGCACATACACTTGGGGATCGCATGACTCGGTGTCACCTCGACTGCTGGGTTTGCGGGGGAGTTAAATGCACTTCTGCGCTGGAATCCCTTGTGCCCTCTGAGGACGCAGTGGCAGCTGTTGTTCCTCCCTGGTCAGGGAGCGGGCACTGGGCACTGGGCACAGGCCGCTTACTTTAATGAGCTCAGGCTGTGCACAAACACAGGCAAAACTCACCAAGAACAGAGGTAAGTGGGGACATGTGAAGCCTTGTGTCTGAAACCAGGGAGATTCCACGAAATTTTTATTAGAATTGCCAATCCTAGGCATCAGAGCCCTTAAATCAATTAGCTAACAATTCCTGAAATGCTTAAAAGAAGGCAAAGGAACTGGATACTCCATCTAGGAATGCCGTGTAACATGGCAGCCTTTGAAGGAACCTGGCCTGGAGCGGCCTGCAGGCTGGGTCAGGCTCAAGCCCCAGGTTGGGAGGGGCTTTCATGTCTATGCTTTTTCCTCTTGGTGACTTGTTGCTGGCAGCTCCTGATGAAGTCCTGAGGACGGGACCCCCTTCTTCTCATCCCCAAGGACAGGCCCTGCTGGGGGTGCCCTCGGCCAGGCAGATACAGCTGCAACCCTGCCTGGTGCTGGTGTGGTGCTGGCCGGGCATTTAGTGGTGCATGGTGTTGGGCATCAGCAATGTGGTGCCGGGGAGGCCATGGGGACTCAGACACACTCTACTGTCAGGGAGCTCAGGGTTAAGGCGGCAGTGCCATGGGGAGGGGCCAGGGCTGGAATGGGCACCCAGAGGAGGCCTCACTGTACACCCTGTGTCCCTGAGAGGCTAGAGCTGGCAAAGGAGAAGGAAGCAGCCATCCTGTTATGGCACCTGTCCAGCCCGGACTCCGAGCTCACAGACACCCTGGAACTCCCAGGGATGCAGGGTATGGAGCCGAGGGACTGTGACAAGGGCTGAACCCATTTCCCTGGGACTGGGTGGCCAGTGAGCCCTTCCCTGACCCCTCATGCCTCCTGCGGTCAAGGGGGTCTCCTACATCAGCTTCCTCCCTGGCAGGGAGCCCAGAAGAAGCCCTCTGCACCCTACGCTCTCCTTTCTTGTTCAATTTGCATAATGCTCTGCCCAGACCAGCTTTGTGCCTTCTGCACCCAGTGCTGGAGACTGCACTGCCCTCTGGCCAAAAAGCCTAACCACCCAAACAGAGAAACAAAGCTCTGGTGCAAAGAGAGCCTGGGCAGCCTTCCTGTGGAGCTGGCTCTTGGGGAGTGAGGTGGGTCCGTCCCCAGGAGAGGGGTCCTCCTCAGGACTCTACCTTCCTGGCCTGATGCCCAGCACCGTGTCTGTTGGGCTGGTGGAGCCCACGGAGAACTTACCCTGCATGCACAAACACACATGTGCTCAGGGATGTAGGACAAGGGCAGTCATTTCGGCGCTACTTGCTTTAGAAAAGATTAGAAATAACCTGCTTGTCCAATAGCGGGGGATGGATGATTCTGAGCACCTGCTCAGTGGAGTGCTGTGAGCTCTTAAAAAGGAGAGGTTTCTTGGGGTGTGCTCACAGGATGAGGGCAGGTCCTGCACCCCAAAGTGGGCCCTTTGCCCATCCCCCAGAGGCAGCTACAAACGCCCAGGTGGGCAGCCTGTGTCCCTCAGAGCCCAGCCCCAGGCTGGCTCAGGACCCTCATTGCATTGCTCCATTCCTGACCTGGCACTGGAGCTGGGGCTCAGGAGTGAGGTGAAGATGGAAGATTCCAGAGCCAGTGGGCCTGCCAACCCCAGCTGCATGGCCTCAAGTGACCCACTCACCCCTGTTTCCAACCCATCTGTAAAATGGGGACAACTTGCCTACCTCACAGGTGAGACGAGCAGCTGGTACACAGAGCAGGTGTTCAATAAAGGTGAAGGCGACTTAAGCTTTGTCCAGTGGGAAGTACAGGGGTGCAGACCAGAGACAGGGCTGGGTGGCAGAGGTGCCCTGCGCTGTCTGCAGGGAGGCGCAGTGGCTCAGCTGTGGCAGCCTGCCACCTGCCGTGTGCTTGTTAGGGGTGCGAGCCAGCTCCCCACCGCCCCCACAGCAGCCAGGGCGCAGTTGAGGGAAAGTTCACGCCATGGTTTCCTGACAGGGGTGACGGCCCCAGCCTCACCCCCGCCTGCCCTGAGAGTCACTGGCACCACCGGGTGCTGGGGGTTCAGTGTGCTCACAGAGGGTATGATCTGGGGGAGCATGTGTGGGAGCAGGTGGACGGTGGGGAGGGCGTCCCACTCAGCAGGCCCAGGACCCTGCGCTGCCCACAACCCTCCGGGTGCCTGACGACCTCGTGGCCCCCGCAGACCCTCAGCTGGCTCCAGACTGAGCCTCCGGCTTCCCAGGAAAGTAAGACTTTTTCCAAAATTGAACTTTGATCACCTTTCCTCCCTTAGCAGGCTTGACGATTTCCCCTTTCACTTCCTTCCTCTTTAAGCTAACATCTCGTTGTCATTCTTTAAACAACCCTTAGAGGTGCACATGATCTTCTCTGTTCCATTTTAAGGAGCCGTGAGGAAGACTACCACGTCCCTGTGTTTGAGATGAGGAAGCAGCCAGGACAAGAGCCTGGCTGAGGCTGCCCAGCTGGGAAGAGGCCAAGGCCCAGTCTCCCCCACTCGTCTTCCTGCCTCCCCCTGCTAGCAGGGCGCCGGACCTCAGGGGTGGGCAGAGCCCCCAGTGGCAGCAGGTGCTCACAGCCAGGGCAGTCGGGGGGGCTTCCAGAGGGGGGCTTGGGACCTGGGGGTGAGGCAGGAGGGCAGGTAGGCCTTCTGGTGGAGGAGAAAGCATGTGCAAAGGCCAGGCAGTGTGGACAAGGGTGGATTAGCCAGTGGTTAGAGTGAAGGTGCAAATGGAGAGAGCCAGGAGTCAGGGCTCCACTCAAGAGGTGGGAATGGGAGACGAGGCCTGTGGAGTCAGATGGGGCTGGGGACCCCTCAGCGTGCAGGGAGACAGCCTTGGCTGGGTCTGTCCCAGACAGTGTCAAGGCCTGGCTGGGTCCCCAGCAGCCCGGGCCCAGTCCCAGCTAGAATGGGCTGGTCTCAAGGGCTCAGGATCCCAGGGCGGAGGCAGGAACCTCTGGGCAAGAGGCGCTCGATTGGTTCTTCCAGCTGAGAGAGGCCGACTTCCCCGGCACCAGGCTCCAGATGCCTGGGTTGGGACCTGCAGGGACTCTGGGTCCTCACACTATCTTCCTGAAACACCTTATTTATGCTAAAGTGTCAATGACTCAAATGCAATGTACTGGTATGCAGCGCTGGCTGTTGGAAGACTCTGAGGTATGTGTGAAAGCAACGGCCATCGTGTTGTTTTTATAAAGATGACACTCGCTCCTTCTCAAGCAAAACAGGACAAGCAATGCAGAAAAGTACAAAGAAGGGAGCAACCCCCCCTCCCCCGCCCACTCCCCTTTACAATACCTGCTTCCAGAGGGCAGGACTTTCTTCTGCTCTGTTCTCTGCTGTCTTCCCAGCACCTGGAACTTCCTGGCACGGAGCCGACGCTCAGCAGAGACCACCATCCAACGTTAACATTCGGTGCAAGTCGTCTGTGCACAGAGAACTTCGGAGAGATGAAGAGCTATGGAGAGGAAGGTAAACAGGTCCAAATAATTTTAAAACAGGTTCATACCACGTCTACTATATTTTAAGCTAGAAGTATTTGATTTTAAACTTGAGTTTAAAAGGAAGAGAAATCTGAAAAATTACTAACCTGAAAATAGCGAAATCTTTACTTTTCACAGAGATATGAGTTCAGGAGTCTCTCTAAAGTTAAGAAAGGAGATTATGAAATTCATGAAGAGATCGTAGTCTTTGGGGAAAAAAAATAAAGGCTCCCCTCGGGTCAGGCTCAGTCCTCTCTTGGCCTGAAGGCCAGCGGTCCCTCCTTCTTCCCTCCAGCTCCTGATTTTGATTCTACGATTTTCACTTGGTCAAGTGGAAGTCACTTATCCTCTGAAACATTTATACTCTGTTCTGCAACCATAATTCTCCCAATATTTCATCTTAGTCCTATATTTAAATAGATTCTATTCCATTTTTTAAATATATTTTGCCCCTAAGTTTAGCTTTTGGAGTCATCTCTTGTTTCAGAAAACTTGTGAAAAACTTTGAAATGGACCCAAAAAGAGACCACTGTGCCCTGCCTTTCATCACGTTGGAGCAAATCTAAGTTGTAGAAAACTCACAACAGTGCAAATGATCCTTGTCCATAGAAAAATGCAAATCAATTTCATCCCGTGGAATGTAATCAGTTGTTGGCTGTTGACGGTCTTCGTGCGCATATGCAAATTCATTTCCGTATTCCTTATCTGCCTATATATGTGGGTTGTTCTAATTTTCCTTGAAACAGTTGGAACGGATTAATGGTCCCCTAATTATTGAATGAGTTGAATAAAATGTTTGATGTGTTCATTTTATACTGCATGAGTTTCATGATTTTACCTTTAAAAAAAGTGACCCTTTAACTGCTAGCTAGATTTCACTGCTGAATTTTTTTTTTTTTTCAAAAACAGCTCACAGGTGCTATTTTCCCTGACCGTGTTGTCTGTAAATCTGAACATCACTGGGAGTAATATTCTTGGTTTCCCCTTTTCCACACAACTTTGAAGACCTGGCTCTCTTGTCTTCTGTGAAAAAATCTGGAGCCAATTGCTTCTCGTCTTCCCTTTGCTGGTGACTTAGTACTTCTGGCTGCCTGAAGAGTTGTTTTCTTTATCCTTAAAGTTCGGTAACTCAGCCAGATTCAGCCTGTTCCTGGCGCCCATCGTTCTGCCGCCGCCCCCTGTGCCTTCTCAGCCGCTCGCTCTTCCTCCGTCCCGGGGAGGGTCTGCAGATATTCCTCCGCTTTAGTTGTTGGATGACCTCCTTCAGGGACCCATCCCTGGGATGCTGGGAGGTCTGGTCCCACAGTGACCGCCTTCTCTTCACCTGTGTGAACCAGCTGTCCTTTCCCTCGCAGTCCACCGTGACATCCACGTTTCTCTGCGAGCTGTCAGCCTGCTCCTGGAGACACGGCGGCTGGGCGTCGGGTGCGCAGCGGTCCTGCCTGGTCCTCCCTGTGCCGCCTCCCCGCCGCAAGCCCTCCGCATCTCCTCCTGTCACTCCGGGACGGTCTCTTCTGTGTGCCTGTTCATGTCGTATTCACACCAGCTCTTCTCAGTCCGGAAGCAGCAAGTTTCCGGGAAGCTGCCCTCGATCCTGGCTCCTGTCCGCACTCAGCTCGGGCCCTCATGGCATTTCCTTCCGGCTCCCGGCCCTCAGCAGGCCACCAGCCCTCGTCAGTTCTTCCCAGCTCGCCCATACCCAGGGCGGCACCTGCACTCAGACCTTCTACCCACTCGGGCGCAGGAACCAGTCGGCCTCCCCTCAGAAGTTCAGTTTGAGGTCTGTATGTTTTTGACCTGCTCGGTGGACGGTGTGTGTATGTGGGGGGTGTGTGTGTGTGTGTGTGTGTGTGTGTGTGTGTGTGTGTGTGTGTGTGTGTGTGTGTGTGTGT